GGCGGATGCTATGGGCTGACTTCACTGCTAAGGGTGCGCGAACTGATCTTTTTCTAGATTGGATGCGACGCATCCAATCTCTCTTCCTCTACCTAGAGCACCTTTTCTTCATATTTTTGCACTCCACACACCCTAATTCACCACACACAACTCAATTAGTTATAAAACCAATAATTAAACCATGTTGGGCATTTTAAAGATCAAATAGCATCAAAAAGCGGTTAAAACATGGGTAAAGTAACATCAACACATATCGAAATATGCCAAACATCACATAGCATTCGCTTTAACAGAGAACATAAGAATAGACCAGCTAATAGACAACCTCAATAGGCTCAAAACCTTTATCAATTGATGCCTTGACAGCATCTACCACAAGTTGCGTCTTTCTACTAATCGTTGGCCACTTCTTCTCAGGTTTAGAACGTTGCGCCTTGATACCTCCAACCAGGTTAGAGAACTCCTTTATCATGAGAGCCTCTTGAGGAAGATCTGTGCTGACTTTTTGCTCACTTGGTGCAGGATGAATCGCTGTAGAAAGTTCACCAAACCTCGAATTTTCCACTGTGTAAAATGGAGCAACATTTTCTTGAAATGGAATTACAAAGTCATGGACCCTCAAATTTCCTGTGGATCCATTAGCAACGATATCCATGGCCATATTGGCTAAAAACGAACAATAGAAAGTTGCTACCCTTCCGTCTTTCCAACTCAAAGAAGCACCACAAGATAGGATAACTCCAGCTTCATTCAATTCTGGATCAGGTAGAGCTGTCACGGTTTTGGACAATTCATAATCAGTAGTCCACAAGATTGCGCGAATACTGTACCAACCAGCATCACCTAGAACACCTAGAGCATCAAGGTCGGCCTTTACACGAATGTCATTCTTCAGAAACTCTTGGTCACCAAGATAAGCAAAAGTGCTGTGTACCTGTTAACATAATATATACTATAAGACCATCTTCAGGGATCTTTAATGGAAAAATCAAGTCCATACTGGATTAAAGTGTAAAGAGAAGTTAGAAGCAGTAAGCACTAAGCTCAGAAGCCTTCATATAGGGTTCTCACAACTCTGATAAGTTTCAATTTTGTCGCATCAATTGTGCGGAACCTGCACTAGATGTCTAATATTTTATCCACCTTTTTCTTGTAAGATATCTTAGGTGTCCAAGTATATTCTCTTAACTTCAACTCTAGAATCTGGCTTGATCTCATTTTTTAGTTAATTTAAAATTGAACGCGTTTTTTTTAAGGATTTCATTACATTAGTATTTTGACCTTCTATTTTATTTTTGAATTTATTTGTTATCAAAAGAAAAGAGAAAAATTGCAACAAATATGTTTTTTATAAATTTAGTACAATTTTATACCTTAGGTGAACTTTTACATTTTATTAGAGATATTTGAGTAATTTGGTATATTTATATAACCAAAATACATTTTTCTAACAAAGAAATTACATTTCTTTTGCAGAGAATGAGAATATACATCGCTTTAGAGATATTGTCATTCTCACCGCAAAGGATCCCCGAAACAACTTCTTTCTTACCTTTGGCATTTCTAAGCTGTGGACCCTATCCCCACCCAGCTCCCCCTCATTCTTTCACCTCCCATCCTCACTTTCCGCCTTTGGAACATGGTTGCATTTTTTTCTTTTTCTTTTTTGGGGATAGATAAATAAAATTGGTTAAGTACTATTTTTCAATCCTAGCATGGTTATTTTGGGGATTTTTAATTTAACCAACAAAACATAATTATTTTTAATTGATCGATAAATCAAAATTTAGTTGTCCAAATGAAACAGCCTATATCAGTTCAGTAGTTCACCAATAAAAAAAAAAGGATCAGAGGATATACCGATTTGAGTTGGCCAAAACGATGAGAATCAGAGAGGAATTCTTTCATCTTAACAGTACGAGGATGATGCATCCACATGGTAGCATCCATGTACTGCACCCCATTCAATTCGCACGCCTCCAGAATAGCATCCAGCTCCTTCACGTTTAACGCAACGGGCTTTTCCAGCAAAACGTGCTTCTTCTTCTGGGCCGCCAACACAGCCCACTTCAAATGCAGGCTTGTCGGAAGCGGAACGTAAACGGCGTCAATCTCCGGGTCATCCAGAACAGCCTCATAACTGCCGTATAACTTTGTATTTGACGGATACCCATTTTCTTTAGCAAACGCCGTTGCTTTTTCGATCGTACGGCTGCCGACGGCGGAGATAGTGGCGTTTGGAGCAAGCGCGATGGCTCGTGATACTTTCCGAGCTATGTTAGCGCAACCTAGTATGCCCAAACGTACCTGTGACGCCTCTGCCATTTTTTCCTCAAAAGAAGCTAACTGATGAGTGGAGCGGACAGTAGACAAGAATATTTATAGTACTAAATGAGGGTTATGTCCGAAACTGTAAAATTAATAAATAGAGAAGTGAAAAAGACGAAATAAAATACTACTCCATTAAGAATTGAAAAATAAGAGAGACCGGCATTTTGAAAGAGAAAAGCGTCAATAGCGTGACCTCGACGGCCTTTTCACATCTCATATGATATGACGCCAACATTCACCCAATAAATATTTCCTCCACCATTTGCCCACCCGTAGCAAATTTGTAAAGAATTTGTCCCACCCATTGCTTGCATAGAATCATATTAATTTATTATTAATATATTTTTATGTAATACAAGATGAATTAATTATACTTTATTTATTATTAGCATACATTATTCATTTATTAGTTTTATGCAAGCGCTGATATATGTAAAAAAAAAAATTACTAGTACATTTTTACCTCTCCAAACCACGTGAAGGGATTTTGAGAATTGAGCATTTCAGATTCGTTTGCATAAGTTCATAAACAAAAATCCTAGTCTCATCGCACGAATAAATTTCATGTTTATATTTTCGAAACATCGTAAACCCAAATGTTCAGTTGACTACTTATGTGCAGTGCTTGGTTCAAGTGGTAATTTTTGAGAAAACTGTAGTGCTTTTCAGTAAAGTACCTTAATTAGATGGGAAACAGATTACTTAACCACTACTTCGGGAAAAATTGAAGACAAATAGACTTCGGCATGCATTTAAAGATTGCAATTGTTCGTAAGCGGCTTCAGAATTTAACTTGATATATTTGACCTTTCAAATTTCTGAAATTTTGTACTTCTAAAACTACCGCCTATCGGCTCACTTCTACCGTTTAGTTGAAATTTTCATATATACATAATTATACTTCGCGTCAAAATATTGAGTTTGCAATAACTCACTGCAGCTGCATTTTAAAAAGATGACTGTACTAAGATGTGATTCAGGATTCACATTTGTTTAACCTTTAAACTCATTACTCTTTTAAAATTATAGGTTCAAATTTTTTTTTTGTTTGCAATTAATTTTCTCATTATTTCTGTACTTAGTATTGAAAATATTGTGGTTAGTTGAACTCATTGATTATATGATACATTCTCCACCTTAGTTAATTTTAATATAGAGATTCAATTAAATTATAACGGTAATGAGAAAAGAAAACGGCAAAGGGCCAAATATACCCCTCTACTTTCAAAAATGGTCTAAGAATACCCCTCGTTATACTATTGGGTTATCTATACCCCTGCAGTCATACTTTGTATTCAAATATACCTCTCATATAAACGGAGGGACACGTGTCATCGTCATGTTGGTCAATTCTAAATATCTCCTAATTAATTAAAAAGACCCATTATCCATATCCAAAAAGTAATTTTTTAAAGCAATTTTTTTTGTAAAAACTGAAAAAAAACTGAAATTATTTTTACTAGAAACTGAAAAAAACAAAAACAAAAAAATTCCAGTTTTTACAAAAAAAAGCTGCTTTAAAAAAAATTAAAAAATATTTTCTAAAATAATGTTTTTGTAAAAACTAAAAAAAAAACTGAAAAGCAATTTTTTTTGTAAAAACTGGAAAAAACTGAATTTTTTTTACTAAAAACTAAAAAATCGAAAATATGTTTTTTTCTAGTTTTTACAAAAAAACTGCTTTAAAAAAAGCTGAAATGCAATTTTCTAAAACAATATTTTTGTAAAAACTAAAAAAAACTGAAATGTAATTTTCTAAAGCAATATTTTTGTAAAAACTGAAAAAATAAATATTTTCTTTTTTTTTTTCAGTTTTTAGTTAAAAATATTTCAGATTTTTCCAGTTTTTAATTGCTTTAGAAAATTGCTTTTCAGTTTTTACAAAAATATTATTTTAGAAAATATTTTTCAGTCTTTTTTAAAGCAGCTTTTTTGTAAAAACTGGAAAAAAAAAATTTTGTTTTTTTTCAGTTTTTAGTAAAAATAATTTCAGTTCTTTTCAGTTTTTACAAAAAAAAAAAATTGCTTTAAAAAATTACTTTTCGGGTATGGGTAATGACTCTTTTTCATTATTTATGAGATATTTAGAATTGAACAACATGACAATGACACGTGTACTTCCGTTTAAATGAGGGGTATATTTGAACTCAAAGTATGACTGCAGGGATATAGATAACCCAATAGTATAACGAGGATATTCATAAACCATTTTCGAAAGTAAAGAGGTATATTTGGCCCTTTTGACAAAAAAAAAAATAGGAGTTTACATACGTCTCACCTAAGAATTTGAAAGAGTAAACCAAACAAAAAAAGAAAAAGAAAAAATGCTTAATTAAAACGCACTGGGGGACACAAGGCAAGCCCATCCGCCATAACCCAATTCTAAAAAGAATGGAAAAAATAACAAGAAGGACATGAGATTTGCACCTTGAGGCTAAATTCTAGAAAAAGAAAGGGAAAACAACAAAATGGATGTGAGATTTGAATTTCCGACCTTACTAATAAAAGTGCACTAGTAAGCATTGCATCATAGAACACTTTGAATTTAGGTGAATACGTATATATTTAAATAATTTTGAAGGGATAAATCATTGTTATACATGAGGTACTAATTACACATATACCCCTTTTTCCATTTGTCGATTGGTATTTGCATTTTCAGAATTGAAACAAATTATGCGATGTAAAATTTAAAGGTGGATTAGTTGTATTATACTTATGATATACTTGGAAAAGTGAAAATGCTAGATGTTTTGATAATGATATGTGCGAACCAAGTGATGTTCTTTTTCTTCTTCCTCTTCCCTTTCTTTTGTTTCCTGGAATGTGATTAAATTTCTTATGTTTGTGTTTATGCTTAAAAGATGGTTTAGGGCTTTAGGTTTATGGCGGAAATTTTAAGTTTAGAACCAATATAAAACACTAAAGCGAGTACTTCAAAACAATATCTTGCCGTACCAATTCCCGATTCAAGGAAGACATTTAAATCCCTAGGTAATTTAATTGATAAAAATGAAAATATCAGTAACATATTATTGATTGTGCGAGCACCATATTTACTTAAATGGTTCAGAGAACAAATGCGATATAGCAGCTTCTTTGGTACCTAATAACCTATTAACTCTTTTTTCTTTTTCTTTTTGGATCAACCGTCTTATTTAATTTAATGAGCATGATTATTTTATATATACTTCAAAGAACAAGTTATTTAAATTTTTATCTTCTATTCAAACCAGTATCATATTCATGTTAATTTTGCTTATTTTTTTCATTTAAAAAAACAACGGAGTTAATTCAAGTATAGAGGACAACACTAAGATTAAATGTCAAAATACTTTATAGATTTAATCTACCTACTATATATATAACTTCAAGAGATTACACATCAATCAAAAAGATATTGTCGAAGAATATTTTATATTCCCTACTCAATTTTTTAACTTCATTATTACAAGTATATTTAGATTGGTTTAAAAGCTGGTCAAATAAATTTAAAATTACTTTTTGGCTTATTTAATTGTTTGACAAGCACAAAAAAAAATGATTTTAAGCACGTGTTTTTAAGCCATAACAAAACGCTACTCTTCAGTCAATTCCGATCAACCTTTTTTCTGTCTTGAGTCTTTGAACCATGGTGATTCAGGTCGTGTTGCTTTAAGAACTGATGTGTTCTATCACATTCTTATATTCTAATTTCTTTCGTTTTTCCTCTTCTTCCTTTATTTTGCTTGCTTATATATTATTATGATAATTTTATATTAACCAAACGAGAAACTACTACACATGCATTCCGTTCTTAAGTTAATAGAGATTTTAGTTCTTTTTTTTAGTCCTCATGTGTTAGGTAGAATATTCACAAATAATTTTTAATTTTTCTTGAAATTTTAATTTGTCTTAATTTTAGATTTCCTTTTTCTTTTATCAAACAGACAATATTATACTTGTTTGTTTAGTAGAAAACAAACACAAGAATGCTTAACAGTATACATTTTTTCCCAACGAGAGCCAATTCTAAGATCTCAATAACGTAAATTCATTTATTTTCCTTCTTATGTAAACAAATGTGATATTTATCCTATATGTTTCCTCAACAGGCTTGAAATCAAGAAAGAAATAAAAAGTTTTACATGGTTGAAAGTGATAGGAAAATGAGAATTCAAGAATTATATTTATAAAAATTATTTTAGGTAATTGGTTTAAATTGAAAGTGAATTAAAATATAAATAAAATTGTAATTGTGTTAATTTAGAATAAATCATCATAGTAATCAGCTTCTTTATAGTGTTAACAACTTTAAGAATATTTAAGTCATTTTAATAAATAAAAAATGCTTAACAACATTTGTTTACCAAACACTTCAATAACTTTTTTTTTCAGCTTCAACTTTTTTATCCAAACACATAATTATTTATTTATAAAATAAACTCTAGCACCTAAAACGTGTTTTTAAGTATTTGTGCTTAAAAATTATTTTTTTTTAAGCTAATCCAAACGAGAATCTAACCCTTGCCTTTTCTTTCTCCTAAATTTGTGGTGCAATTAATTCAGCAACACTAAAGTAAAATCCATCTAAAATCTAAAATAGAAGTCAAGACATTCGTCACTTTTCTTGCTTAAACGCCAACTGAATTAATTGTCATACAATTTTTTCTCCAGAAATTGAAAAGTAATATTCTGAAGTGCCAAACAGTTCCCTATTTCTACACGCATCCTTAAGGTCACGAATCCAATCCCATCTTTTCTTTCCCTCCCTTTCTCCATCATCATGTTTGGATTTTCTACAATCAAATTAATAAGGAGAATAACATTTTTGGTCCCTCAATTATTGGTAAATTTAATTTTGGTCTTTGTGATATATGGCTAAGCACATCTATGGGTTTTTGATTCCTTTATGTAGGAATCAGTTATATTTAGACTCGTTTATAACTAAGTCTATATTATCTTTAAATATAATGTAACAATACAAAGTTAACATAACACGTAAGCAATCAAATGATGTGATTATATATTTTATTAAATTTGTGAAGGTTCACAAATAGAGGATCAAAATTGTACATATTAATAATTGAAAGTTAAATGTGCTTAGACAAATATCACAATGCTCAAAAGAAGAATTTGTCAAAAGTTGAGGGACTAAAGTGCAAATTTCTCATTAGAAAAAAAAAACCAAAACCAATAAAAAAACTCCAACACTCAAAAATTGGAAAATTCT